AGAGAGAGAGAGAGAGAGAGAGAGAGAGAGAGACACAGAGAGAGAGAGAGAGAGAGAGAGAGAGAGACACACAGAGAGAGAGACACAGACAGAGAGAGAGAGAGAGACACAGAGACACAGTCAGCTGCAGCGTTCTGTGTCTGATCAGTTATCAATAACAGTATTGATCTGTTTTCCAGAAGCAGCATCAAGTCTTCCAACCATCAGTCGTCTTCATCGTCCTCCTCTTCCTCCCTGTCGTCGTGCTCGTCGTCGTCGGCGCTGGCTCAGGAGCTTTCCCAGCAGGCGTCGGCGCTGCCGGAGGCCGAGGCCAACAGCCAGGTGGACTGGACCTACGACCCCAACGAGCCCCGATACTGCATCTGTAACCAGGTGAGTCAGCGCACAGACCATCAATAATCAGTATTGATCATCGGTCGGATCTTAACGGCGCTCTGTCATGTCTTCCAGGTTTCTTACGGAGAAATGGTCGGCTGTGATAACACAGACGTAAGTATTGTTATTACTGTGGCAGCCAATAATCAATGATAATCAGTGATAATCATTGATAATCAATAATAATCAATAATAATCAATGATAATCAGTGATAATCAGTGATAATCAATAATCAGTGATCAATATGTGTCTGTAATCGATAACGGTGGCTTTGTGCCGCAGTGTCCCATCGAGTGGTTCCACTACGGCTGCGTCGGCCTGACGGAGGCTCCGAAGGGGAAGTGGTACTGTCCTCAGTGTACGGCCGCCATGAAGCGGAGAGGCAGCCGCCACAAATAGACCGCCGCCGCCCGCCATCTTGGATTTTTACCTCCACGCCGTCGTCGTCATAAACCACAACAACGCTGCAGCCGACTGAGGTCAGAGGTCACCCCGAGGGTTCTGGATCACATTTCATCCTCCAAATTCTTCACTCTTCAAACATTTCCACGTCTGAGAATAAAACCAGAACCAGAACCAGAACCGGGTCATCAGAGTCCGTCTCACTCTGGATGTTGTCTCACTGCAGTTTACTCACACACAGCCAGAGGTCAGAGGTCAGAGGTCAGCCTGTTGTGTGTTACAGTCTGAGGAAGAGGAAGAGGAAGACGAGTTCAGTGATGAGATAATGTCTGAAAGTCGACTCTTCAAAATAAAAGTCAAAGAATCAGAATGTGGACTGAACGGATCAATGTTTTAATAAAAGGTCTGACAGAAAGCAGCTGGTGTTTGTCTTTATTCACAGGAACATTTATTACAATCAGTTACTGATATTGATCCGTTTGTTTTAATGGAACGAGGTTTTATTGTCGGAGTAAACAACAATAATGTGAACAACAATAACAAACTGATTTCAATGAATCAAAACATTCCTACAAAAAGGAATTATTACTTTAATCTGATTTCTGACGTTAATTCAGAGCTAGAATCATATTTCCATGGCGACACAGCTGATTGAGATAATTAACAGGTTTTCAATCCTTCTTCAACTTTCAACTAAATCCAAATGTAATATTTAAGATCTGGAGCACATGAGGACATTTGTTTGACTTTATAGACTTTAGTTAAGATTAAAGTCAGTGCTTATCGGCAGTCCTCTACCACACACTGTCCGTGTTGCTCTCCTGCCTCCACTGAGAGACTGTTAAACATCAGATCAACACTCAGAAAGTTCAGTTATACAATCCCACAATGCACCACAGAGCGTCTGACAGTGTGAGTACGTCTCCAACCAACAACACGCAGTCTGGATCAATATCTCACTGACAATGAAACATGAGTCCCATATGTTCAAACAGCTGATCGATCAATAAACAGTGAATCTGTCAGAAAGAAGAATATTAAGTGACTGTTAAACTGATAAAAATACAGAATATAGAGAATGGATCAATACATCTGATCAATGTTCACAGGAAATAATCAAACTTCCTGCAGTTATTGAGTCCACTGTGTTCATTGATCAGCTGATCAGCTGTTATTGTTGTACATTGAATATGATATATAAAATATGTAACAGATAGAAAGGTGTTAGCATCTCACCGTGTTTATTTGGGTTTTGTTTATGAAATAAAACGTAAACATAAATAAATGAATGTTTGCTGTAAATATTGTTTTATGTTCCTGTTTACAGTGAAACCACCGCAAGTTAGTTTATTACTGAGCTGCTCACAAATCTTAAAACGGCCTCTTTTTAAGTGAAGTCTGGTGATTGCTGATAGTCCATATATGAACGAGAGCAGCTGTGGTAAATTACATCTGTAAGTGAGGTTTGGTGAAACCATGTGTTCCTATGTCGGACTGTTAGGAGACAAACTAACAATGTTTTCCTGCTCTTCTTTAAAGCCTCGTTTACTAAAACTAATACAAAACTCCATTTGAAAATCTGTCATTTTAAAGACACTTTGTGTAACAGCTGAATAAACATGAGTGAGAGCAGTAGAGGGTCAGGTTGGTGTTGTAGTAAATTCTTTAATCTTCAGATAAAGGATTAAAAACATTATCTATTGTTTGATTATATTTATGCCGAATTCATCAGAGAACCTCAAGAGTCCGATAAGATATTAAAGTTACTGTATTACTGAGGTAATGTTGCTGACAACCAAGCTAATCTTAAAACACCCTCCTTTTGAGTGAAGTCTGGTGAGTACTGTGTTCTCCATAAATGTGTGAATGCTGCTGTTAAACCAGAAGGATTCTATTCAAGATGAATTCACATGAGGATCCACGAGAGAGTGAAGACTTTCTCCTACAAACAAACACATTTTAAAGTGGAAGGATTGTGAGTGAAGTTTGGTTAAATGAAGTGTTACACTGAAATCACATATTCTTCTTTAATGTCTCCTTTACTTAAAACTTCTGCTGACTAACAAACTTAAAATAACCCATTATTAAATGAAGTTTGGTGATAAGTTTTTCCCTGCACTCTCTTCTTCTGTGCTTCATTTACTGGTAGATGTCAGTAAAACTATAAATTGATGATGGAATTCCAAAACTACTAAAAAGACCTTTTTTTAAATGAAGTCTGGTGATAAACCTGTTCCTGTGTGTGAGCTAAACGTGCTCAACCAAATGTGACTGAAGTTTCATTGACTTTAACCCACAGCACACACACACACACACACACACACACACACACACTGTGTATATGTGTGTGTGTGTTTTCCAGAAATAACTCAGCCTTCAGAGTGTTTCAGCAGGAGGGAGGAGGAGGAGGAGGAAGGAGGGTGAGGAGGTGCTGACCTCCTACAGAGCAGCAGTGGCTTTACGGTCCAGACTCCAGCTGAAAACCGGAGAAAACAGAACTTCATCCTGTTTGTGTAGAGGAATGAAAGCAGAGAAGGAGAGTCGGAGGCTCTGACCAATGCGGCTCCTTTCTGCTTCTCCTCCTGCTGGATTTAACTCAAACCAGATGGTCTCTGTGCCAGACTCCACCGCCGCTCTGCTGGTTGGGAACTTCTCTCCGACGCATTTCATCAGATTTTAGGCTGAAGGCTGAGCGGAAACCCGCCGCTGTTGCCGCAGTTTAACGGACCTCTGCGGGAGTTTTCGGTTAGTTCTGACGGTCCCGTTCGGATTCCAGTTTTACTGCTCATCAGCTGACAGGACGCGGAGCGCTGCGCACTTCGGACCGAAGGGAACCGGGAGGAGACGTGGATACATGGAGGAGAAGGGCTGAGCTGTCACACGGTGTTTGGAGCCACATGATCCCACCGAGGAGGACAGAAGATGCAGTCCAGGCTGCTCTGCTGCGGCTCTCCGGGTCCGTCCGCTGCGCACACAGCGTCCCGCTCAACAATTAACGCATTTTTACATTAGATTCGTTATTGATGAAACTTCTTTGGACTCACAACATGAATTAATACTTTTTTAGACTCTTGTGGATCCACCAGTAAATTCGGCGTAGATATAAACATCACAGGACAAAGGACAGTAGTTTATCTCCAAACTTCATTGGAAATCCGGCTATTTTAAATTCAGTTTGGTTCTCAACTAAAGTTCTTCGGACTTACAACCTGAGTTGATTCTGTTTCAGACTCTTATGGATCCACTAGTAAGTTCGGCACAGATATAAACCACCAAAAGACTTTATTTCAATAAAAGAGTCACATTGAAAAAACAGCGTCCTACAGAAGAGATGCGTTCAGGTTAAAGGGGGAAAGAAGCATCTCACCAAAGTTCAGAGAGAAATCGACCGTTTTTAGATCAGTTTGGTTTCAACAGAAGTTCTTTGGACTTCCAACATGAGTTCATCCTCCTTCTGACTATTAAGTTAATTACTCCCAGACATCCTGTTCCACCAGCCAGCAGACATCAGTGAGGAGATGAAGATGATGAAGATGAGGAGTGAAAGTGAAACCCTCAGGAATGTGAAGTGAAGGACTGGGTCCCATCATGCGGTGCCTCCTGGCTTCAGCCGGCGGACTCCTCCTGAGGGAAGCCGGGATGCTGCTCCGCCGCCGGTCCTGCTCCGGCCCGCTGCTGCTGCTCGGGGTGGCGGTGTGTCTCTTCTACCAGACCCTGATGCTGGCCCGGAACCGGCTCCGGTCCGGACAGCAGCAACCCGCCGCAGATATCCGCAGCAGAAAGCCGTCTGATGAAGTCCTGATGGAGGAGACCAGGAGGTTCATCTCTGCCCTGGAAACCTCACAGAGACACTCACAGGTGTGTGTGTGTGTGTGTGTGTGTGAGAGAGTGAGAGAGAGAGAGAGAGAGAGAGAGAGAAAGACAGAGAGAGACATAG